GTACTTCGATTTGCTAAGCCTCTTTAGAAAAAAAAGAAAAGAAAAGGAAAGTTTAAAGCAAACAATAAATACCTTATATAATTCCAGGCATGTGTAAACCTAAGTATTAAGAGTCAGCTGATAAGAATGAAGAAGAAAGGACGAAATCGGGTGAGTTGCCAGTTTTTCTTTAACGGAGACAGGATGCAGTATAGTTCAATCCAGATTAAAAACATGTTCAGAACTTGAATGAAATACATGAATTCACTGTTTCTAGTCGGTAAACGCAAATACCTTTGTACAGCATCTTACCTCATTCATAGCTTATTTATTTTATTTAGTCATTTACTAGAAGAATAGACCAACCTTTTCCTTCTCCCTTCTTGTTATTTTTCGTTTTTTTAATAGCATGGGTGAATGACAATAACAAAGCCACATCAACGTCCAAGTTTATTCACAAACTTCGTTACAAAAATGAGAACAATAAGCAAGGTGTGAGTCGCCGAGTCTCCGCACAGGTGGTAAGATCCGAGAGTTAAGTCTCTTGATTCCAACGCAGGGAATGCAAATCTTGATTTATGCATTGTTTGTGCAATCGTTACACAATGGAAATAGTAGAAGCGCTTGTGATTGGTCCATACAAAAGTCTATAGCCACGTCGCTGCTGGCTCTTCGGTTGCCAGCTATTCTTTTAAGGCAGTTTGCCTATATGTATGTATATATTTGTTTATGAATATATGAATGTATGTGTGTGTGTCTATACAAACACACACACACACACACACACACACACACACACACACACACACACACACACACACACACACACACACACACACACACACACACACACACACATACACACATATATATATAAGTATGCATATTCCTTCCTACATTTATCTACTTGTTAAATAAATTATATACCTATCTTTCTATGCATCTGTCAATCTACACACCCACACACACACACACACATATGTATAATCCACCCACTCACTCGACACACACATGTATACACACACACACACACATATAGATGAATAGACAGATAGACAATTAGGTACATAGGTATACAGGTATTATTACAAGCATATATACATACATATTCATATACATATTTATATTATATATCATATCATATATATATATATTATATATCATGATATATATATATATACATATATATATATATATATATATATATATATATATATATATATATATATATATATATATATATATATATATATATATATATATATATATATATATATATATATATATATATATATATATATATATATATATATATATATATATATATATATATATATATATATATATATATATATATATATATATATATATATATATATATATATATATATATATATATATATATATATATATATATATATATATATATATATATATATATATATATATATAATATATACATATATATATATATATATATATATATATATATATATATATATATATATATATATATATATATATATATACATATATATGTATATGGCAACACTCCAATCGATTAGACGTGTTAAAAGATCGTGTTACAAAAAGTGACAAGAGGGCTTAGCAGCAAGCCGCGAGATGGTAGCGAGGGCTCTCAGAACCGCCTGGAAGGAGATGAATACAAAGGGAAGGCGGCTCCTTCGGGCAGCCTCTCCGGCTCCCGAGGGCGTCTGCGTGGAGACTCGCCGACATGCCAAAGCAACACGGCCAATTTGCTTCAGACGGCAACAAAGATGGACTTATTACAACGTTTATCAGACTTCGCGCTGGAGGTACAATTTGTTGCCTTGTTCCATTAATTTATGCACATAGAAAGACAGTTTACTTATTTACACTCCGAAGAAGAGACACCTACGCTAATATGCCACATGTACTCAGTACACAGGACGTATGTATCATACAATATGTAGCTTGGTCTTTCCGATAGCATTGCATTATCGAGAAATATTTTATGCACAAGACCAAGAACATGAAGTCACTTGACATATACCATGACGTATCACCTCTAAGTCTGGGAATCGTACGCTGAAAAGTTAACAGAGGTGAAAGGAAAGACAAAAGGACCTTCTCCTGAAGCTTATCGGTAAAATAAAGCACAGTGACATGTGACAACTATTTTTTTAATATCCCATAACATTAAACTTCTTCTCTTGCTTAAGCTAAAAAATACCCCATTACATTAATCTCCACCTGCTTAAGCTGAAGCTTTTCTTGCCTTTTCGGTGGCTGAAGGCATTTTTTCTTTCTTTCTTTTTTTTTTTGACTTTGTATTTCACCGATTATAAAATAGATGCCGAAGCTACTACATCTCTGCACCCAATGGGAAACACTACATAAGTTAATAATGGCAGACAAAATACGTTTGCAGTACTCTAGGGTTTTCTGGTAGCTTTGTTTTCAAGTTCCATTTTCAAACTTCCTTCGTCAATTCAGATAAATACACTGAATACGGAAACATTAGTTTTGAAGAAGGAGC